ACCCATATTAGGGGACCTATAACTGTACTTATAACTACCCATGCCCTACAGGATCCAGGTTTCTTAGGTTTCTTCCCAGAGAGCCCAATACCTCTTAACTAAGGAAGAGACCTGAAACTATAGGGGCCTTAGTATTATGGTTTAAGGTAGGTTCCTCCAATAAGGAATAGACGTTAAACTAGAGGGGCTTTACTATTCTGATGTTAAGGTCTATTCCTAAACCCTAAACCCTAAACCCCTAATTTTTGAGGTATATTCCTTCATGAAGGGGTATTGGGCTCTCTGGGTTGGGCTGTCTTCAAGGTTCCAGTGGTTTCGAGAGAGTTTAGGGTTTAGGGCTTAGGGTTTGGGGTTTGGGGTTTAGGGTTTAGGGTTTAGGGCTCCAGGTCTGCAGTGGTTTGGGGCGGCAGTGGTTTCGAGTTCAGGGTTTTCGGGTCGAAGTGCTTTCGAGTCTAAGAGATTCCAGGGCTCAGGCCTGTAAACCCCAAGCTCTAAACCCAATTCGATAATCTAGGGGCCTTAATAATTAGAATAGGGTTTTGGGTCCCATTATACCATAATTATACTAAGAACCCCCCCCCAAAAAAAAAATATATGTATATATATATATATATATATATTATAGGTAATTATTCAGGCCCATACATTAGAAGCTGAGCTTCCCAATCCGAAGCCCCGAGGAGCCTCATCCACGTCCACCGGCTTCTCAGGCGGCTCCTGGAAGGTTCTTAAAGATGTGTTTGGTCCCTTGGGGTTTAGGGTTTAGGGTTTAGGGTTTAGGGTTTAGGGTTTAGGGTTTAGTGGGGTTTAGGGTAGTTTAGGGTTTCGGGCTTGGGTTCTTCAAAGCTGACTAATGGAAAAAATATCCACAGGGAGAGAAAGCCCACTTCTTGAAAGAAAGCGCTACTCGTTTTCTGCCTGCAAAAGCCTAGGCGTGCATGGAGTAGTTCACAACTCCGTCGAAGCGCAGGGGTGTCCAGTGTATGAGACTTTTGTGGGGAACTAGACTTGGAGGCTTGCAGCCTGAAGTTCGAGGATGGGCGCTTAGGGCTACAAGGCTCTCTTGTAGCTTCGTAAGAGACGGCTCGGGCCTCCACCCTGAGTTGAACATGTAAAACCCACAAGCACCGAGCTGCTCAGAGATCGTGTCTTGCTGGTTATTCTAACAGAGATCTTGTGCCTGCCCTGCCACGGCGGACGTGCCCGAGGCATTGTCCCGAAATGTCGCAGGGTGCGTCGATCGGACCAGATCTCCTTTCCCATCCAGCCGTCCTAGGCCCTGAACTCGAGGCCACCAAAGATAGAATACAGTATACTATAACATACTATAAGTATAATATGCTCTAAATCTCGAAGGATCTCATTCTCTCAGCAGCGCTTCGGCGCCTCGGGATCAAAGGCCTCCTGTCCTTGCGTAGCGGTGCCATCATGCTCCTGCAGTTTACAGGGCTTAGGGCTCAGGGTTTAGGGCGTTCGGTTCCACTACTCCTCGAGCTGCTAGGAGACAAGCCTGCACCCAGAGGGCGGGAGCAAGAACTTCGGGTCCGGATCCCTAGGAGTCCTATGAAAAAGAAGTGAGGAGTCAGGTTTCGAACTCATGGGTTTTAGGCTCTGGACCTGGAGGGGACAGCAGCCCACGAACCTTACTCAACCTACACCTAGCGAAAGAGCTCTGCGAAGGGAGTGTGCTTGAAGATTCGCGAGTGCACTTTAGCAGGCTCACAATTTTGTCAGCAGTGTGCTGATACATGATAACCCTGAACCCATAAACCCCAATGCCTACCAAAAAAACGCTGCAACGTCGTGACTGGACTTGTGAAGGCAATATCAACACCCCAACACGGGGCAGATTTCAATGGCTTATGTTGACATGGCTTGTCGTGCCTATCCCGAAACCCTAAACCCGACACCCTCAACCCTAACAGTACTGTAAGGGCCTGAATAATTACCAATACTATTTTGGAGGTCCTAATTATAACTATAGTATAATGGGCCCCGAAACCCTATTCCAATTATGAAGGCCCCTATTAGGGCCCCAAAAAAGCACATAAGCAAAAATTAGGATCCGGATATCCCATATAAATCCCCTTATAAAGAAGCCCAGTAAGGTAGGGATATCCCTATAAAAAGCTTATGCTTATGTGCTTT